TCAATATTATTATATTATAAATATATGATTTTTACATTATTATATTATTATATAAGATATTTTAATTATTATATATTTATATTATTTAATAATATATTAGATTAATTATAATATCATATAGTATAATATAATAAGTATGTTGATAATAATAATATATTACTTATATTTAATATATTATGTTAGATATTATATTAACACATGCTCAAACTCAAAACCAATACACCAAACTTAAAACACCTAAAATGTGTTTTAAAATAAGTGTTGTGTTTTTTGTTTGTGGATGATTTAGCTCAAAAAACATCATATTTTTCAAACGTATGGTGTTTTGTTTTTAACAAAAACACCATAGTATCCAAACAGAGCCTAAGTTAGCCAAAATTTCACACTCAAAGGTCTCATAAGTAGTTAAGTCTCGGCCCCTTCTAACGAGTTATTTCTCTTGTTCTCGCGAGAGATTGAAGGAGCTCTTTCATCGAGTCAGTGGATTCACCGGGCCTACTTCCCAATCACCTTCCACGTTGGAGGTTGACTCATCCAAATTCCACCGTGCAATTTCAATACCCTCTACAGACTGATATTTTCTTGGAGAGGAATCTATCAGTGAAGAATAATTCTCATTGTTTTCACAAGAGAGGAAACTTAGGTACGGACAGCGGTTGAAGAATTATTTGTGAATAAATGTTGGTTGACGTGATGTCCACGAGTATTTATCAAATTATTAGTTCAAAAGGACAGTCGCCAAGCGCGACTGCCCTTAGACGCTCGCTCAATTAGAACAGATAATTGATCAACTTTATTATCCCTCTGTAAACTTGAATTAATCTTTTAAACACCTTTATATTTTTCAGCAAGTTTTTCAAAATGACCCAACATTTTATTATATTTAGATTATAAATCATCGTACATGGAGTATACCTCACAATCAGAGGTCTCATGTTCGGATTCTTCCGAATTACTATCTTTAGCAATGAGACAATGATATGCTCTTCTATCATCACCGCTCAAGCTACTCTCCGACGTAGTCATTTTGAACTTTTGCCCTCCCTTTATAATTTTTTTTTGCTCAGGGGATAATTCTTCCTTAAGTGATCGAGTTTCCTGCATCGAAAATAAATTGTTTCAATATTAGAATCGCTAGAATTATATTTATTTATCTTGCTTATGTAGTGATCTCATTTATTTTGCAAGAATTTCTAACCATCCTTCAGTTTAAGGAAAGATTCGTAGACTTTAACAATTTGATTAACATGACAATTTTTATCCTCAGAACTTAACCTTGAGTCTTTTTTCTTATTGGATCGGGATTTCTCCTTTTTAGCTTTGAGAGCTAACGACTTTTCTTGGTTTTATCTTTTCAATCACCTTCTCTCTCTCTCTCTCTCTCTCTCTCTCTCTCTCTCTTAGTTACACTTTATAGGTGAGAAGATTCGCTATAATACTCTCAAGAGTTAGTTCGACAAAATTTTATAATTCTTCAATAGACGTTACCTTTGGCTCCTAAATTCCTAGAAAGAGAGCGAAGAACTTTCCTCACGAGCTCCTTGTTATCATACTGCTTCCTCAAAACTTTTGATTTGTTCACAATGTCCGCAAATCAAGTGAACATATTCTGAATACTCTCTAAGGCCTTCATTTTAAAATTCTCATACTTACTCACAAGCATTATAAGTTTCGCCTCTTTTACCTATGAAGTTCTCTTGCGTGTAACTTCCTAAAAAATTTCGATTTCTTGTGTAATAGATCAATTTGACACATGATTAAATTCTTTAGGAATTAAAGATCAATAAAGAGCTTTCATATCTTTTACTTTCAAAGGGTAAGTCTTTTTGTCTTGAGGGGTCCAATTATCTCTAGGAGAAACTGAGGTAGTATCTCCTTTAATGGTAGTAGGTTCACTATAGTCGTTCTCCATGCTACTTTAAACGTCATAATTGATGGACAATAAAAAGACTATCATATGCGCTTTTCAATATATGTAGTTTGTCTCATCGAAAAGCGGGGGTCGTTGAACAATATGTCCCTCAGGAAAAGCAGTTGTGGTGGTCAAACTTGTCATCTCTACCGTACACTACTAGAATACGGGGTTTTGCCGACGGACTTATAGCGACGGAAATTTCCGTCGCTATAAGCCGTGTTATAGACATCAAAATCATATTATTGTGATAGATTACCAGAGTTTGTGTCAAATCACATGTCATTTTATATACATGAAAATAATAAAATAATTCTCTCGGGCACAAGGTTAACACTGCTAGAATACGGGGTTTTGCCGACGGACTTATAGCGACGGAAATTTCCGTCGCTATAAGCCGTGTTATAGCGACGAAAAATTCCGTCGTTATTATTCCGTCGGCAAAATAATTTTGCCGACGGAAAATTTATTTTTAGCGACGGAATTTCCGTCGCTATTTTTTAACTTTAGCTACGGAAATTCCGTCGCTAAAAAAATTTTTAGCGACGGAAATTCCGTCGCTAAAAAACTTTTTAGTGACGGAAATTTCCGTCGCTAAAAAGGATGAGCTGGCAAAAAAATTGGGCGCGGGCGTGCCCAAAAATTTTGGGCAGCCCGCGCCCGAGAGAGGGATTTATCCCAAATCCCTCTCTCAATTCCATTTCCCCCTCTCTCTCTTCATCCCCGCCCCCTCTCCCCCTTCTCGTTCTCTTCGCCGGCGCACCGTTTCCCTCTCTCTTTCCCTCTCTCAAGGTACTCTCTCCTCCCCTCAATCTCTCTTTCTCTCTCCCCTCAATCTCTCTTTTGTTCTTCTACAATTAAACTCATCATCGTGTTTAATCACTCGGCATGTCTGCTGTAGCCTTCAATCTCTTCCCCTCTTTAGTGCGATGTTGTGTTTTTGGGATCTTTGTGTTGTATCTGAGATCCGAGCTTGATTTACCTAGGAATAACCCCTAGGACATTTTGCTACAATTGACATTCTTGAAGAGAGGTCTACTATGTAACACCGTTTCTTTTTGTTTTTGAAAGTATGACAATTTGATTGGGCAGATTCTAAACTTGAAGGAAGTGAGAGCATAAGTTTCGACAGAAAAATTACTTTCTACAAACTGGTGAATAAACTTGTAGAGAAACACCGGTAAGCCATGAAGATTCTTTGTTTTGCATTTATGTTTGATCATCTACTGATGTTGTCGGCTTACCTCTTGTCTATGATTATTGATTAACATGATTGATATTGTTCATTGGCAAAATGATATCTACCCGCTGTTAATGCAGACTGAGGCTTTTCCCTGGTTGATACAAGTGCTCATTTTTGTCATGTTAAATCTTGAAAGTAAATGTTGTTTAGTAATCAAAATTGTCTACATTTCGAGGGATAGGACAATGCTTTAAATGACAGTTCGGGACCATATTCTTGAAATTATCCATGAATTTAATTAAGGGACATCTTTCCCTGCAAATAAAACGATAGCATGTTTAATTGGTATCCATAACATGTACTTGTTTTAATTACTGATGAACTCACTGCTCTGATTAGCATTTTCTTCGTGATTTGTTAACGAATGATTCTTTTATCTTTTCATTTGTATATAAAATTTCCACTAGAGTTCCCAATAGAAGTTTATGATGCAATGTTTCTTTAGCTTGGGACTTTGCAAGTGCTGTAAACTAGAATGTTATAATTCAGTTTTTTGGGAGCATTATAGATCAGAAAAGATCTTGCAAAGATTTTATGCTTGTGTTGAATTACTTAATCTTTAAAGATAGTTTAATTTTATTTTCTACACACACTGAGAAGATAACTGTAGTAACGCTGTATAGCTTGGGTTTTAATTTTTCATTTTCTTCCATTTTTTGCTTTCTCGTAGGGTTAATTAGTTTATTATTTGTTTTATCTAAAGCTTTTCTCACTTAAAGCCGTGACATCTTCTTGCCCAGACATCATGGATTGACACGACAGGATTGACTCATGCAGTATAGCTCTCCTGCCATCCAAGTATGATAGTACTGTAACCATACTCCTTTACCCATATTCCTAGATGATCTATCTGCAACCTTCCATTTTTTGCACAAACCTCCTTCGAATGTGTATTGCTTACCATGTAAACTTTTGTCTGTATGCATTACCGGTGTCATATATTAGTTTTCATGAAGGATATTTCTAATCTGAGTAGACATGAGATCTTAGTTCAATAGAGTATTTATATGATTAGCAATAGTTTGTTACTCAAGACAATACGGTCCTTTTTTCTAACATTTTTCTCCAATGAAA